TTTCACATCTTTCGAGTCCTAAAAATCTAAGCCGAAAACTCGCATCCTTTTCCCTCAGTTCCCCCTCCTCTCCAAGAGCCCCCGCCTCCAGCGGCTGGCTGCCGCCACATCAGACGACGAGATCCACATCCACGACATCCCCGGTGGGCCCCCCGCATTCGAGATATGCGCCAAGTTCTGCTATGGCATGGTCGTCACTCTCAACGCCTACAACGTGGTCCCTGCCCGCGCCGCTGCCGAGTACCTCGAGATGCACGAACCCACCGACTCTGGCAACCTCGCCCGAAAGATCGACGTCTTCCTCTCGTCCAGCCTCCTGCGCTCCTGGAAGGACTCCATCATCGTCCTCCACACCTCCAAATCCTACGTCCCTTGGTCTGAGGAGTTAAAAATTGTCAGCCATTGTTTGGACTCCATAGCCTCCAAGGCCTCCGTCGACCCCTCCAAGGTTGACTGGTCCTACACCTATAATCGGAAAAAGCTCTCATCCGAAAATGGGCGGGACCCGCTGTACAATGGCGTCAAGAAGCAGCAGACGGTCCCGATCGACTGGTGGGTGGAGGACCTCTGTGGGCTCCCGCTCGATTTATACAAACGGGTCATAACCACTATTCAAGCCAAGGGGAGAATATCGGCTGATGTCATAGGCGAGTCGCTGCGCGCGTACGCTTCTAGAAGGCTCCCGGTTTTCAGGAGCGGGCTCGTGCGGGAGGACGAACTCGCGAAACACCGGTGCCTGGTCGAGACTGTCACACGGCTCATTCCCGAGGAGAGAAGCTGCGTCCCGTGTGGCTTCTTGCTCAAGCTATTGCATGCGGCCTTTGTGGTGGGATGTGAGGAGAATGAGAAACGGGAGCTGATGGGGAAAATTGCGCGCCAGCTGGACGAGGCAACGGTTGCGGATCTTGTGATCCGGTCTCCGGATGGGGAGGTGATGGTTTATGACATGGATGTGGTGGGGGGGTTGGTCGAGTTGTTTGTGATGCTGGAGTGTGGGGCCCGGACAGACGATCCCGAATTTGAGGTGATGTATGCGGGATTTGTTTCGGATGCTTCCAAGGGCAAAGTTGCACGGCTGGTGGAGGGTTACCTGGCGGAGGCCGCCCGAGATCCGTTGTTGCCGCTGTCAAGGTTTCTGGAACTCGCAAATATGGTGTCTGGCTTTCCTAGACCTACCCATGATGGAATTTACCGAGCCATCGACATGTATCTCAAGGTTTGTAGTTCATGATCGAGTTCATTGTTATTATACCTAGATTGAGAAAGAGATGCAACATATTTCAAAGAGTATTATATATTCACCACCTAACATTGCTTATATATTACATTTTTCAAACAGGAACACCCAGGGATGAGCAAGGGCGACAAAAAGAAAATATGCCGGCTGATGGACTGCCGTAAGCTGTCTCCCGAAGCTTGTGCCCACGCCGTGCAGAACGAGAGACTTCCGCTGCGGGTGGTCGTGCAGGTCCTCTTTTTCTTCGAGCAGGCCCGGGGGCGGGCAGGCGGCAACAGCAACGGCCTGCCAGATCTACCGGGCCCGGTAAGGTCCCTGCTGCCCGGCGGTGGAGGGTCCCGCGGCAGCTCGCGATCCGGGACTAGCAAAAATACAGACACGTCCTCGGAACTGAAAGCTCTGAGAGGGGAGCTCGAGTCCCTGAGGCTGAACGACTGCAATGACTCCAACGGGGTGAAAAAGGTGATTTCGAGGCTGTGGTCGAAAGAGAGGGAGAATAGCAGCTCGGACACGTCGGAAAGCCATACTTCGACTCTGGAATGAGGGTTTCCGTGAGGGGCCCACCGGGGATCAGCTCGTAGGATTGTATTATGGTAGCTAGAGAGAGAGAGAGAGATGGGGAGGGAGAGAGAGAGAGAGAGAGGGGGAGAGAAAGAGCCCGAGGCCCGGGCATGTATGGTTAGCCCTTTGGAGAGGGGGCTGGGGCCGATCGAAGAGAAGAGAATGTAGGTTGATTGATGTTTTCTAGTGAAGTTTACTGTTCTTGTTTTTGTTTTTTTTGTTTTTTGTTTTTTTTTTTTGTTTGCCCCTTTAATAGTTATTTTTCTTTATTTATTTGTTTGCTTTAATTTCTTCTAATCGAGCTCGATCATGTCAGACAAGAGAATGTTTTGACTTAATTACCTTTCGAGTTTTAAAATAGATGAACAATAGAGTCGCAGAACTAGGCAAGGTTTGTCACATATATTGACCGATTTTACTAATGAAATGTATTCACATTTTCGTTTGAAAACGATAACATTGTTGGTGTGTGAACAAAATCGATCGTGCCCAAATATCCATTGAACTGCTAGAATGACCTACGAAACAAAGTCGGGGTGGTCTTGGCATATAACTTCCGACGCTCATGTCAACTTTTAGGAGTGATGTGTATAGAACCTTATATAGAGTCATTACCTTATTGTCGAAAATTTGGCCAATCATGCTGCCCAAGTATTTGTGTAGGCAAAGATTTGTCCGATCTTGCTGCTCAAGGATTCGTGATTCCCAAGTATTTATTGGTATCTAATTGTGTTCGCTCTACTCTTTATTTTACGCGTTCACACTATTCTACCATTAGGTAGTTGTTCAAGATATATCCGAGCTAAATAGCTAGCTCGGTCCTTTCAATTTTAATTATTCTGGCCTTGCTTGGCCAGAATCTGCCTTTGGGGTCGTCCATGACTTTGTCGATTCCAGGTCGAGTTTCCATCAGACTATCATAGAGTCCTTGCTCGACCTGTTGGGGTCCTCATCTCAATGACGTGACACTTTTTCGACCTTAAGCCAGTGTGGTGTCCGGCCTCTAATCGAGCTACTGGTCCTGTCAAACCACTCGAGGTGCTCTCAAGTTATGCCAGCTCTAGTGGTTGGTATGATCCCAATTGGTCATAACATTTTAAGATTCTCTGCGAGCCACCGACCTCTTGGGAGTTTCTTATCCCCGAGCCTTTGGACACTTATGTCACACCTTCGAGGGGTGGTTATAATTTTTTCCGCGATCATATCGAGGGTGGGCTTAGGTTTCATGTTTGTGCAGACCTATTGTCCTTGTGTGATATATACTACATTCCCATCAACCAATAATAGTCTTTTTTTTTTCGACACTGACTTTTTTAGGTATTGTTATGGTGTTGTATTTCAAAAAGGAACTCCCAACCTAATAGCTCGTAATCATGCTAACTTCATAAGGACCTATTGTTATTCTTTTTTCTCAACCTGAACTAATCATTTTTGTTGTACACATTCAGTCTTCGCATTTTTTAAATCTACGTCTAGAGGGGAAGGCTTCAGCGACCTCTAGCAGAGCTCAATATAGTGGACTTCTTAGGCTCCCTCCCATGAAATCGAATGCCAAGCGCAACGCACCTCCTCTCCCTTCTAAGTCCGCCATCCAGAAGCGACATGGCTCTGGAGTTTCTGATGGAAGCTAAAAACACAACAAGGTAGGTCGGGTAGAGGTCGATATGCCCGACACTCTGACAGTGGTCAAGATGGGTCGACCATCATATCCAACTTGATGAAGGTCATACCTGATGAGAAGATCGAACACTAGGAATCTGAATCCAAGGGCCAAGCTGAGTACGGAGCCATCGTCTTTTGCTTGTGTAAGTGTCGTTTGCAACCTCAATTAGTAGCTATTTATTTTTATGAAAAAAAAATATATGTTGATTTCCTTAGTTTTATAGTTTATGCCAACGGTGAACCCCATGTTTCCCAAGGGCCTACACAACCCCCTTCATTCGTCGAGGAGCTCAAGAGAGAGCTAGCACAGATGAAGAAGAAGGTAGACTAGTTAACCAAGAATAACTTCGAGAAGCAGATCGATGCCTAGACCAAAGAACAAGATGGGGCTCTAAAGGATAAGAAGAAAGAGAAAGAGAAAGAAAAGGAGAAGAAAATCGAGGTCGACTGTGACGAGGCCCGATTGGCGGTCGCTGGGATCTCTTCACCTCCCAGTTGGGGATCCAGTTCATGGTGGCTTACAATGAGGAGCTCATCTCGATTAATGCAACTCTATGAGCTTCTTGCAGAAACTTGGCGGCCCTACTGCAGTCTAATTCTTCACCATTGCCCTGGACCAAACTGAGGCACAACTTACTGCCCAAGGTTTCAACGGGAGGCTTGATCGCGAGTTGCATAACGCAACCTTCCCTTACTTGAAGGTTATCAAGGTGATTCAACCTTTCCCTCGACCACAAGTTGTGGGGAGGTACAATGGAGAAGGAAATCAGGCAATGTGCTTTAGAGAAGCGATTAATGATCCCTCCTAGCCAACCTCAGCTCGAGGAGTCGCGCGTTGAGCAAGTCGCTACCACCCTCGAGGTGCTTTCTCAATTCGAGCAGTTTCCCGAGGTCACAGTTGTTGCTGATGGGTGACGCCTCCTGAGGATAACACAAGATAACATAACTACTGACGACAAATACATGTTATAGATTTGCTGCATTATTCTTTATCACTTACACGAGCGCGAAAGTGATTTTCTTGCGTCGGTGGTAGACTATACTTGTATGGCGAGCGAAAACTTGATCGACGACCGTGAGGTTGACTATTTGCAGAACCAAGTCGCACAGGGCGATGATTTAGCAAAAAAGTACGACCTGAGATGTATCTCTAAATTTGGATGTGGCACGCCTACCTAAACTTATCATTATTTTCCTACGAATAAGAAATTATGTTCTAATCTTAGATGAATTTTAAATCAACAAGCTCGTGCAGAGTGGAGAGACTATTTGATAAAACATCCATAAAATGAGGCCAATCTGGGCAAAATTTCATTTTTGGTCCTCTAAGTTGGCCTCTGTCCAAAAAACCACCCCGCCATTGGCCACTTTCATTCTTGGTCCTATAAGTTGTCCATTTAATCAAAGTTGGTCCTATTTTATCCCACCCCCGGATTAAATATCGACGTGGCATTTTTTTATCTGATGTGGCGTCACCCGAATTAATATAATTATTCTTATTGTGCTAGGTGGAAAATCAAGAATGCCACATCACCAGATTTTATCCCCTTAAATATCCGATCAAACCAAATCCCCAAATTAGAACCCTAATTTTTTCAATTTCTTTGAGTGGCGACCGAGAGAGCGAGAACCGCTGCCGATGTCTTCATCTTCTTCGTTCTCTTCTCCTTCTAATCTGTCTTGCTACTGCCGTCAACCTGCTCAAGTACGCATATCAAAGACTCCATCAAATCCCGGTAAGAAATTTCATGGATGCAAGAACTGGAACAATGGGGGTTGCAATTTCTTTAGATGGGAGGATGAACCAGATAGTTCGAACAATCAAGTTATGGCCAATGAATTGATTGAACTCAGGAACAAGATGCTACTGCTTGAAGCCGAGAACCAAAAAATGAAGGAGAGTGTTGCCCTCCAATTTCAGCATGCGCAGGACATTCATGTGGAAGAATTTTCCAAAATTCGACAAAATATCTGGAAGCTCGAACTGTTTGTTGTTGCAACATGGGTTATGTTCATCATTTTTATTGTTGTTGTCAGGTGGTGAAAGATGTATCTTTACTGGTGGTCTGTCATTGCTTTCTATTTCTGTCATGTGGTAGGAACTTTGCTTTGTTTGTTGTAATGGATTGTTGTAAGGTATTATTGTAACTTTGTTTTGCTTGAAGTGTTTTAATGGATTGTTGCAACTTTTGTAAGGGAATGAACAGTCTTTGTTTTGTTGTTGGTTTTGTTGATCTTATTGGTACTTGACTATCACTATCAGTAAACATCATGTTTAACATTGTGTATTGTGTTTATAACCATTTTAGCATGTTGATGTCAAAACCTGAACTACCTATTGCATTCATCAGTAAAAAGGCATGATTGCAGACTCATAAAGACATTACTGAACCATTCTTTATAGCAGAACTATTCCTTAAGACATTACAAGATCAAACCATTCATCCACTTAGCAAAACCTTCAACCAACAAAAACCATTTCCATAACCATAAGATACAAACCATAAACAAAAAGGATTTCCATAAACAGAACCCATAACTTGAACCATTCACATACAAAAACTATTAAAGTTTCAAACCATTCATCCAACTTAACCAAAACACCTACAGTCATCCAAAATACAAAACCAACAACATCAACCAACACACCCACAAGTCAGATCATAACCAGGTGCAGTTTACACAACCAACCAACAACCAAATCACTCATTTCTTTACATTCTTTCCCTTCTGTTTAGGATCTACAGATGGAACAAGACTACTAATGGAGGTGTATTTTTGACCACATTCTTTGAATATCTCCTTTAGTCTTGAATCTCTTTCAGTTAGGCAGCTCTCTTGGCTTGGTATGAAATGACCACTAACAAATGGTGCTGGTCCTCTGATGACCACTCCTTTAGTGGGTTGTCCCATTTGCAGTTGTTGGTAAGGAGTTGGGGCAGCTTTGAACCATTGTGTTGGAGCAGGTAGAGCAGGGGCAGGTTGCACAGGGGCAGGTTGCACAGGGGCAGGGGCAGATGGAAACCACTTAGTTGGAGCAGGTAGAGGTGGAGCAGCAGGTTTGAAGCACTTTTTGGGAGCATGGGCAGTTGCATTAGAGGCAACAGGGGCAACAAGAGCAGCAGAGACAGTTTGGTTTTTAACCTAACAAGTAAGTTTAGTTTGTGTCAATTTGTAAAGATTATTATTAATTAGTTAAAAACACTAAAACTAATTAAAAACACTGAAACTACTTACATTACTTGTGCTTTGTTGAGTGGACACTCCAACTGCTGGGACAGGGTCAATCACCCTCTTTCTTGTCTGAAGATACATTAACA